GTGATTTTTATTTACTTTTTTATCCTAATTTTAAAAGTTTAGATTTTCCTATTATACTAAATTATATTTAGTAAAATCTGAATACTTGCATAACTAACCTAGCCCCGTACCCTATTCTTGTTTGGGTGTGGTCACACTATGCATATCTCGTGTGACACACGCCTGTTATCAGGGTCCGTGTAACCCCGTTACAGAAGATACAGCTTAACAGCTCAGCAGTACTCCCAAATGCTTCTATGCGGTAGTACAAAACATCCGCACCTTGTGTACCTCCTTCGCTCTTGGCTGAGAGATTTAAATGGCCGCGCTCCCACGTAAGGTCATGTTGTAGGCATGAACCCCTGAGATACGATGAGCAATCTTTGATACTAAGCTTTTCATTAATATTGTAAACAGTCGTGCTTGCCATCTTGCTACAGATCCTCCGTACCGCTACCACTAAGTTTGTAACTTCATTAAATTTGAAGCAAATGTATTCGGTTCTTAGAAGCATAAACCCTTACGATCTCTGAGCAGTGAATCTGCTGCTTCTGCAAATTTAAGAAAACGCTTATCAGATTGTTCAAGACGACATTGTTCATACCGTTTCCATTTCTTTGTCCATCTCATCACAGCGGCAAATAAAAAATCGGGTGCAACGCAGCCACGCTCTGGTTTGTCTTGCATATATCTGCGATCTCCTTCTCCACGCTTTCAGCTTGCGCGTATCTTTTCGCAGCATCAGCTTCACGCTTATCCCAATTAGCCAACAGATCGCCATAAGCTCGCAACACGCGTGCAAACTCAACTTTATCGGTTGCGGATAATTTGATTTCGCGCTCGAACGACTCGACAACCGTCACAAATAATCCTTCACTCGTGACAGCTTGACCCAGTATATGACTGCCTTTGGCAATCTGGCCAAGTACACGAGTCATTGCAAGTGCACTGCCTCCGACACCAGTCTGTTCAGCTTGCAATGTACTTAAAGCTTTTCCGAGCCACTCCATAGCTTCTTCTGGCTTATTTTTGCGAAGCATCAGCTCGCCAAGATTCGTCTGAACCCATGCTCCAAACGGAGCATTCGGTCCAGAAGCCAATAATGCATTTTTGTTCTCTTCAGCGGCAATTTTCTCGACCCATTCCAAAGCTTCTTTGTAAAGAATCTCGGCCTGGTTAAGACTTATTAGCTGTGCGTCTGTAGGGGGCGATTTTGAGTCTTTTCCATAGTCCCTCTCGAGTGCACGTGTGCTTGCAACTGATAATGACGCATACTGTGCCAATAAGTATGGAATATCACGTCCAAGCTGCACTTCATTTGCCTTTAACGTGCTCACTTTTTCGTGCTTCAAGACCACATCTTTCTTCTCACGAAGCGTTTCGACAGCTTGCACATATAGCGGATCGTCCACAGCCTTGGCCAATTGCTCAATACCTCCTTTCAAAAGTATTCTAATCAGCTCATACAGCGTCCATTTAAGAGGTACAATCTCATCTTGCGGAGATTGTTTTAAAAATGTTTCTTTTTGACACCAATCTTCCGCTTGTTTGGGTAAATTAGAGCGCAGCAATAGACGCAACATACGCTCGTGCTCTGCCATTGGCCATTGCATGACTTCGCCACGCTCTTGCATGATCTTCGCTGCTTCCTTTACATCTCCTTTCATAAAGAGTGTAGCCACAAGATGACGTAGAGCTGCTTGTAGATACACGCTATGAAATCCCATCGTTGAGCGACAGATCTCTACTGTGCGCTGCAATTTAGGTAATGACTTCTCAGCACGTTTGGAATTGGGCAGAAAACGTGCTTCATCTCCGCCTTGGCCTAGAAGAATCTGCGCAGCTTCTTGGAATTCTGGCAAGGTATTTAGCAACTCACGTTCTGCCTGCGTTTCCTCCGGCGGTAAAGGTAGACTACCAATACCTACCGAATGATCAGCGAATATATGGCGGGGTGGTGCAGTTGTAACGAATCGAACTGGAGTACAATACAAATTGAATATTAGACTATTCGCTAGATTCGTCGTTGAATGTAAAGTATTCGTAAGACGTCGAGAAGATAGCAACAAATGCCGAGAGAATCGCATCTCGAGTTTTTCTGCGGATGACAAAATGTAAAGATCCAAAACTAAATCTTCTAATCGCAGATAATATTACGCAGTGAGGTTATACTAGCTAATGAAACACTGAATTGATGCGTTAGCCTTCCTCCTCTGTTTCTTCGCGTCGACGTTTTTTTTGCTTCCAAAGTTGTGCAGCCTGCAGCAGTTTTAAATGCGACTGAGCCTGCTCATCGTCTGGGAAAATGTAATCCGTGAACTCTTCGAGACCCAATTCCGTCTATTGACATTAACGAACATTAAAACCATTTCATCGACCAAATTGTGTAATAATCCGTTTACGTACCCCATCTAACGCGTACGCCATGCGTTGCTTGGTTACCTGTTTTGGCAGCATTTTACTGACTTTTTGTATCATCTTGACATCTCCAATCTTTTTTTCCATCTCCAGCCAGGTCTCCATGCACAAAACGCGATCTTCTTTCGATTCATCGCCCACTTGCTCCTTCATATACCTCAAAGCACGTTCAAAGACATCACGCGCAGCATCCAGATTCTCGTTTTGCACGTCTTTATTGTCTAACGATGAGGCCTCAAATTGAGCAAAGCTTATCCAAACTTTGACATGTTTTGTACGCTCCAGCAATCGCTCGTACAGTGCACGGGTGTTATCGCGCTCGTCATTTTCGATCTCAAAATCAATATAGCTTTTCCAGATCATCTCAGGCATGTCCAGAACTGGCTGCTTGATTGCCAATTCGTAGATAGCACGTGCACGTTCAATTTCGCCCACCTGCCGCTCCAACATGGCATACTTTTGCCAGGTTTCGCAGTTCTGTGGGTCAAACTCGAGAAAACGCATGTAAATCGTTCTACAGCGGTCAATCTCGCCCATCATCAGTTCTAGTTCGATGTAATTCGTAAAAAGTTTCTTTTTTGGACACCGGCCTAACGCTTCTCCAAATGACAGTCGCGCTCCTTTAATATCGCGTTGGCGAATGAGGAATTTGGCATAAAGGATCCAGATCTTACCAAATGTAAACTGATTGTGAGGAATGAGATTTAAACACATTTTGTAAACTTGTTTGCATCGCTCGGACGAGCTACCAGTGTCGTCATGATCACCCGCTAGTAATTCTTCAAATAAAGCGTACTTGATCCAGATGTAAATGTATCGACGCCAGTATTGTTTTTCTGAAAGCGGTGGTATATTAGCAATTGCACGTTCGTACACTTCTCGCACAAGACCAAAAGACTGTGTACCAGCTGCCTCGTTCTCTTCAAGTTTTATGTACTCAAGCCATGAATCATAGTCCAATGCATTGGCTGCCACTCGCTGCTCGTAAACAACCCGTCGTTTTGCAATCACCACTTCTTCAATTCTTTCTTTGTCACCATGTTTTTTCTCAAACGTAATAAATGCACTATAAAGTTCTCGTGCTTCCTCTTTTGGCAAAGTATCCAACGCATACTTAAAAATCGCTCTCGCTCGTTCAACCTCACGACATCGTTCTTCAAAAAGTGCAAAAGTCAGATAAATTTGCTCAGTCTTTTCATCACTACGAAGTTCTTCGAGAGCTCGTTCGTACACTTTTCGAGCCAAAACAAGCTGCCGTTGTGACTTTTCCTCCCATTTAGCATATTTGATATACGCCTTTTCACCTGGATGACATATTATATACCGTTCATACAGCGCACGCGCACGTGGGATTTCTTTTGCACGCATCTCAAGTTTAATATATGAATACCAAGCCTTATCATCTGGTTGCCACTCCATCCAGCGTTCAAACACACGCCGAGCTCCATTAAGATTACCCAACATTTCCTCCATAAAAGCATATTTATACCAAAGTTGAGCCACACGTGGAAGTAGCGTCACAGCACGATCCCAGACGTTGCGTGCGTGATTAACAAACTTGTGGCGCATTTCCATCTCGGCGTATTTAAGCCATATGGTCGGACTTTTATAATCCACATCTATTGCACGCTCAAAGATACTACGAGCACGCGGAAACTCCTCCTGACTCTCCTCCCATGACGCGTACTTCATCCACGTGCCCATGTGGTGACGTTGACGACGTAGTTCGTCTTCAAAAGACTTGCGCTTACCCATACGATATTCGGCTAGCTCACCAGCATCAGTAATTCGGCGACGCGGTGGTTGTGCAGTTTCATCCTTACGCTGATTCGCCTCAAGAAGAATTTGCTCGGCTGTTATTTGAATAGGCGCCGGCGCGCGGTTCTTCACCACACTTGTCTTCATCATTTTGAGGAGAGAAAAATCAAAGAGTAGAAAATTTTATTAGAAAACTTAAAACTTAAAATGGTATTTGAAAATATCATTAATAAATGTAGAATTACTAAATGATGTTCCTACTCTCTGGCATGATATTTTGTATGATGGTATTTGGAAGGAAAATGATTATACCATGCAAAAAAATGACAGTGAGAAGATTCAACTCTCCTACATAAATGGGAAACTACAATCGTCGATATTTGCCTCGTTTACGGTTGCTTAAATAAATTACGCAATTTTCTTATGTATAGTCATAATAAGCCAGAATTTCATGTTTTTTGCGTCTCAGCTGATTGCATATTTCAGTAGTTCAACCCAGTTGTGTTTTCGTCATCATACGTTCTCAAAGGTTTTCCAAGCATCCTACATTGGGTCTCGAAGGTATGAAGATGTAAGGAAAATGTTCAAACAACTGTAACACCATAATCTCGGTGCAATTTGCATTGTTACAACTGTACGCAGAGTTATGAAGAAAATATCAATTGTTGTGTGGGTAGCAGCAGTGGCGATAACTTTAACATGTTTGACTGCACAGACCAGCAGCATTTTACAACAGAGACTCTGGGGCCTCTCGTCGGGACTGGCATATTATTTGGAAGTGAACATTGGGCAGCCAGTGTATTCGTCCAACTCGAGCAGCGCCAATTCTTTTAATTTGTTACTGGACACGGGATCGGCCAACACAGCAGTGGTCACAGCTCAATGCTGCTCGCTCACCAATGAAAATCTTTACTCTTGCTCAGCTTCGAGTTCTTGTGTTGATGAGACCTCTGGCATCAGCGTGGCTTACATCAGAGGGGGATGGAGTGGCTCGGTAGTGCGAGACACATTTTCTGGACAAGGACTTGGCATCATCGAGCGTATGCCGTTTGCCCAAATTACTCGTGAGGATGGATTTGTCTCGTCGGGTTACGACGGAATTATTGGTATGGGATACGAATCCATTGCGTCACCTTCAGACAATCCATGGACACCATATTTTGACGTGATCAGAGACTATAATCAATTAAACAATATCTTTAGCTTACAGATGTGTGGAGCATTGCAGGCATTGAGTCTCAGCAATGTGTCGCTGGAAAGTGATGCATATCGATATGGAGGTGAGCTCTTAATGGGAGGAATTGAAGGACCGAATGGAGAGAACTATCACCAAGGCGATATTGTATACACACCCTTAGTGCATGAAAGGTATTACAATGTTATTGTAACAGATATCGGAGCAAAGGGACAAAGTTTGGGACTTGATTGTGAAACGATAAACTCTCCACGAGCAATTGTGGATTCGGGCTCAAGTAACTTGGCTCTCCCTTCTAGTGTCTTCAGTGCGGTTGTCACCGAACTCAGGACACAAGTGGCGCAAGTGGCATCGATGTCTGACTCATTTTTCAGCGATGACTGGACATGTTGCTCAACTGAATGCGATCCAGGAAACCCCAACTCTTTTATATATCAAGTACCTGGACTAACCATCTCACTTGCAGTAGATGGTAACGAGGCGCAGCAAATGACGATCACAATTCCTGCTGAGTATATTTGGCGACCAATCGTATTGTCCACAGGTTTAGGAGAAGCCACGTGTCGCGTGTTTGGTATCTCCGAAGGCAGTTTTACACTGCTGGGCGATGTATTTATGGATGGTTTGTTTACAGTACACGATCGTGCTAGTAAACGTGTGGGAATTGCTGTAGCTGACAACTGTCCAAATGGTGTCACGTCTAGAAAAACTATCACCATCGAATCAATAACATCCAAGGATTCTTTTTGCAACTGTGTCGGTTCTTCGGATCGTAAGAGCAGTTTACTAAGCAGCTACGTACCATTTACAAACAAACCGTGTTTCTTCTGGCAATGGTGGATGTATGTTATCATTGTGGCATTTGTTATAATGATTGTGATGGCAATAACATATGTCTACCTGTCTTGGAAACGCCGTAAATTAATGCGTCAATTCGAGACTCAGAATCATCTGCAGGGACAGCGTAGCATGTACTCAGAAGAGTATGTGAACCCTGACATGCTCTATACGCCAACGCATCCCAGCTCCGATTACCTGGAAGAAGCGTTCACACCTCTCCGAGCGACAACTCCGTCTGTAAACGGTGAGACAACCAGTATTGATTGCACCATATCATCGCCACCTTCATCTCGAGCCACAGTTGGAGCTACTGCTATAAGGCATGATTGAGCCTATTTTTGACGGTATCATACTTAAGTACTTACAACAAGAACTTTCTTCCCTATAATAAATGTACCTATATAATTTTTCATTTAAGAATAAAATCCAGGGATCTAGCGTCAAAGTGAACTTTTTTAATCCTCATTTGCACGTAAATATTTGTTTAATGTCAACACTTTGATTCTACATTTTTGATGAAAGACCTTAAGATGTATAAACTACTTCGCAAGTTCGTTTAATGTTGCAATAGTCATGATGCTACACCTACATCGCAAATGTCACTCTGAGGGTGAATAATCTATTGAGTTATCTATATGACATTCTGTTCATCAGTTGCCTGCCTTGTTTTTCTTTTTACATCGATATTTTTTTTTCATCACACGATTTGATGATCTCGTTTGTCAAATTTCTAAACAACAGTTTTTCATTTTTTGAATTGTGGCTCTCACGACAACAGTCTTTCATTTTGACGTGTGGCTAGCAGCCCACGTGAATACCGAACTCCAGTACTTATGGATATTCACAATTACACCAATTGTAGCGTAAATTTCGTAAGATCGCACGGTCAAATTAGTAGGAAAGGGGTCAGTTCACTTCTTGATCCATTATGCCTCGAAACACTTTGTGAATCAGTGTTTATTATTTTTCAAGACACTGCAAATAGTGACCGCCACACAAGCAACCACTGCGCCTAAATCTCACTCCTCTCTCTGCACTTTGCTTGCCTGCTTCTTAAAGCGAAACCCCAGCTAAAAGCGCGGTCTTCGCAACAGACGCGCTTAAATGAATGTTCAATGAGGATGCTGATGTATATCTCGATAAGAGCGGTCCCAGTAACTCCCAAGCCCGACCAAATGTCTCTTCCCTTACCCAGCGATACGTGGTCCACTGGGGCGTAGCACGAGTCTAGGGCTCTAGACAATTTTTTAATTGCTGGATGTGTTTCGAAATACCGCCGTGGAGCCTACGAGGATGTTCAACTCGTTACCAACGAACTGGATAATGCTTGTGGGGTCTAGCTTACCTTATTTCAAACGCAAGTCGCGTCGAGTCCTGTCCAAACACGTCGCGATTACGGTTTGAACTGTCCAATATTGCTTGCTGCGCTGGTGCGGAGCCCCTACACGCCAGTGTGTGTGCGACACTGGCGCGACTTAGGTGTCCCACAAGCGCTTTCTCAATCCACAGACACTTTTGTCACTTCCATGTACTACCGTATACGATTAGAGCTGCAGCGGTTGGGGGAACCTGTCCAATCAAGGGAGGGTAGAAGCTATCAAATGTGCCGCTAAGTAAATGACACAATCAGTGTTTTTTGGTTGAGGAATACATGCTGTCTCATTCGTCCTATGGCTTCTCGACTCAGCTTTAGCGGAGCGTACGTCAGCCTAAACTGTAGTCAAACGCTTGACTTTGCATCTTGCTCAGATGGTCCCTGAAGACCATAACAATGGTAAAACTGGACGCCTCTTTTGGAAGACCGAAAATCAGATTCAAACTGACTGACTGCCAACACTCTATCGGAGCCAGCAAACTGACCAAAAAATTGCATTTTGCGGCGAGGGTTTAACATACTGATACGTTTCCTCTATACCCTTATATATGCTTACCTACGCATACATGCTGTGCTACCAATACATAGCACTCAACGAGCAACCATCCTTTTTTCGCTTAAGATAGCCGCTCAAAGGAATATAATCTGCTCCTACAGTATTCTGTGATGGAGAATCTTGTCCTTACGCACCACTAATCATGTGGTCAGTGCGGTACTATAGCAATCAGATAGACAAGGCATAGCTTTGAGGCCATGGAGCTGCCCGCATTGATAAAGCGACATCAAAGTTCAAAATTCTTCGCCTTCAGAAGGTATAGAATCTGATATACTTAAATTTTTCGCAACGCAACACGTGTTTATCTCGCCCATGCGCTGAACATATCGATTTATCATTTGGCGACGTCGCTATTGTAACATAAAATAATACAGTCGGGGCGAAATGCGCAAGCTCATGCATGACCACATTAAGCCGACGCGGCTCATACCTTGCTAAGAAGACTCTTTAGTGCCATCCTTTGTTACCGCTGTGGTGATGACGTATCTGTCTACAACGACGCATAACCTTCTAGAGTACAAACGGCTTAGAGCCAAGTAGGTGTATCCTAAACTTGTCGAATATACTGTAAGTAGCTCCTTTCAGCTGGCAGCTGAAAGGAGCTACTTACAGTATAAAACAAGATCATACGTTCTAAATGCATTATGCATTGTCTTTAGTCCTTTAGACGAAGTTGATAACCCGCAACCACGGATTAGGTACGGAGGTAGCCAGAAAGGATTTGAGTACATGTAGGAAGTTCCATGAAAAGTGGTAATACGTCCTGTGTTCAAATTGAGCGTATCAAAGACGTACACTGCCTTCCGCTTACGGATCATTTCGACATGAAGCATCTAGCTGACGGCGAAGTAAGTCTCAATCCTTTCTTGTAGCTGAGCCACCCTCTACTGTACAGTTTTCACTCGATTAGATTTTTTGATTCACTTTGTTCGATGGAATATTTCTGGGAACCCATTTAAAACATGGCTCATCTCAGAATCGGTCACATGCCGAGATAGTCTACGTAACGAAGGAGCTCACGTGGGAGAGCTTGTCCTTCGTCGGCACTGATCGATGAGCAGAGGGTGTTCCACCTCCATGTAAAACATATAGCGGGTCAGAAGGTTCATTGGGGCTGTAACTGGTATTGGATGGAATAAAAAGGTACTTTAACTTCAGAATCAATGGAATTTAAGGGTCCGATTTGACAAGAATGCTCTGACACTGTTGCCACTTCCGACTTGACGCACCTTCTGACTCTATCTTCACGAAGAAACGCATACCAAGATCCGGCTTGGGTCTGGTTATAAAGAAACCGATAACAGTTGTAGCAGGGCTCAAAGAGTTGTTCAAGGCCGTGAAGACTGAGAGCCGAAGGAGATGACTGTCTAGCTTGACGTCCACGTCGCGCGGTGTTCTTCGCATAGTCGGGTAATATATGAGTTCGTCAAATGAAGCTGACTAGTAAAACTCAATTGTGGTGAGACGGCAAGCCTTCCCCACCCAATGCGCAAAATGAAGGCGAACGCTCAAAACCATTGCCATAGACCACTATCCAAGGTGCGATCTTCGGGATGAGAGAACTAAATCGATAGCTACTGTATCGGGTCTAGTTTGTTAGCTTGAGAACTGGTGGTTCGAGAGAGCTTACAACGCCCAGCGAGCGCTCGTTTTTTTTTCGCTCTTTTGCCTGATTTGGAACCCTGCCTTTAAAAATGTAAGGTCCCCAGAACGGTGCGGTCGGTAATGTGATAGCTTGAATGCAAATTTTTAACATGATCGGTTTTGCAGAATTCGTTGTGCTTGACTTGCTAAGCCCGCTTCAACTTATTAGAATCGACCTGGACATTGTCTTATGCCCTTCAAGAGATGTCGGGACACTTTTCACCATAGGGTTGGGCAAGGATTGTGTAGTGCATGCAGAGAGCAATGTTGATAAGTCGAAGGCGATGATTGCTGAGATGATAAAACTGGTAGGCAACAGTGCTTTTGGTTGATCTGGAATGGACATGAGCAAGCACAAAGAGATTAACTATGAGTCGAGCGACAATGCTATTAAGAAGAAGATCGTACAATTTACGTTCCATGGTCTCGAGGAGCCTAATGATGCGTGTGAAATGACGATGAAGAAGCGTCGACTAAGTAAGTAAAATCCAATCCATTTATCGATTGCTATCTATCAGCTTGCTAAGCTACGCATGCTCCAGTTATGCTTCAGTTTTACTATGACTGCATAGATTTCTACTTCAATCGCTCTGACTTCCAGTATGAGGAGATGGACACTGCTTCCACTTATATCGCTTTCAGCTTTGATAATCCGTTTCGAGGCTGTACTATGCCTGAGCTACGAATCCACTTTAAGGAGCACGAGTACGATTGGTTCCCACGCGACTACGACACTGAGGAAGCTAAGTTAGATCGCCGCACGCCTGGTTTGTTCAAAGATGAATGGTCAGGTGATGCTATGGTCTCACTATCGAGTA